AAAGCCAAAATTGACAAATGGGATTAATTAAACTAAAGAGCTTCTGTACAGCAAAAGAAACTACCATCAGAGTGAACAGGCAACCTACAGAATGGGAGAAAATTTTTGCAACCTACTCATCTGACAAAGGGCTAATATGCAGAACCTATAAAGAACTCAATCAATTTACAAGAAAGAAACAAACAACCCCCATCAAAAAGGGGCAAAGGATATGAACAGACACTTCTCAAAGAAGACCATTCATACAGCCAACAGACACATGAAAAATGCTCATCATCACTGGCCATCAGAGAAATGCAAATCAAAACCACAATGAAGTACCATCTCACACGGTTAGAACGGCAATCACTAAAAAATCAGGAAACAAACAGGTGCTGAGAGGGATATGGAGAAATAGGAACACTTTCACACTGTTGGTGGGATTGTAAACTAGTTCACCATTGTGGAAAACAGTGTGGCGATTCCTCCAAGGATCTAGAACTGGAAATACCCATTTGGACTCACCATCCCATTACTGGGGATACACCCAAAGGATTATAAGTCATGCTGCTATAAAGACACATGACACGTATGTTTATTGCAGCACTATTTACAATAGCAAAGACTTGGAATCAACCCAAATGTCCATCAGTGACAGACGGATTAAGAAAAATGTGGCACATATACACCATGGAATACTATGCAGCCATAAAAAAGGATGAGTTCGTGTCCTTTGTAGGGACATGGATGCACGCTGGAAACTATCATCCTCAGCAAACTATCCAAGAACAGAAAACCAAACACTGCATGTTCCATCTCATAGGTGGGAAGTGAACAATGAGATCACTTGACACAGGAAGGAGGAAACATCACACACCAGGTCCTATTGTGGGGAGGGGGGAGGGGAGCGATAGCATCAGGAGATATACCTAATGTAATGATGAGTTAATGGTGCAGCACACCAACATGGCACATGTATACATATGTAACAACCTGCACATTGTGCACATGTACCCTAGAACTTAAAGTAATTTAAAAAAAAAAAAAAAAAAAAAAGGCAACCTATGGGAGAAAGACTATAGGTGTTTTTTTTTCTTTTTTTTTTCAGAGATGGAGTCTTACTCTGTCGCCAGGCTGGAGTACAGCAGTGTGACTCTCGGGTCACTGAAACCTCTGCCTCCCTGGGTTCAAACAATTCCCTGCCTCAGCCTCCCGAATAGCTGGGACTACAGGCACGCCACCACCATGCTCAGCTAACTTTGTATTTCTCAGTAGAGACGGGTTTCACCATGTTAGCCAGGATGGTCCTCAATCTCTTGACCTCGTGATCCACCCACCTTGGTCCTCCAAAGTGCTGGGATTACGGCGTGAGCCACTGCACCCGGCTGTTTTAATTTAATACTTTTGTGCATTTTCAAACACTTTTCTATAATGGAGCTTTAAAAAGTATAAAAAAATGAAAACAAGTGAACACCACAAAAAAAAATCAGCTTGTATTTTGACTATTATATAGGAGCATAGCAAAAAGCCCAGTGCTCCTAGCTACAGATATTTTTTTAAATAGCAGGAAATAAATTCATGAGTGGCATGGGATTCTACTCCTTGATACATATATGTATCAAATAACTTGTATACACAAATGCACATAGCAATATTAATCAGCCAAAAAAGTGAAAGCAACCCAAATGTTTCCTCACTAATAGATAAAAATATGATACAGAATCCCCCCCCCCCCC